AGAGCTGAACAATCGTCTTGTAACCAACTGTGGGTATCCAGGTGATAAGCCAGAAGGAACCATGTGGATCACAGGAGGCAAAATCTCACGATACACAGCCAACAGCATTTTCTACATGAATGATACGATGGCCGGACAAAGTGGGAGCCCAGTGTACACATGGTATGGTGGGTACTGGACAGTTCTCGCTGTTCACAGTTACGGAGGATGTCCTAACTCCGCTCCACGATTCACAGTCCAGATGATTTACCGTTTTCTGGAATTTATGAAGGCCCTGGAGTTAGCATCGTTGAGGTCTGTAAAATTTCCCGATGTCTACCTTCGATGTGACGGCACAGGAGTAACGAGCTTTTCATCTGATGGAGGTGGAACTGTCAACTGCCAGTACAAACCACCCTCGCTTTGGGAGAAATTCTACATATACCCTGTGGAAGTTGCTCCTTCGTCGGCCCTCCATAGTAGCACGAAAGTGGTGCTAGAAAGTGCAAAGTTCAGGAATGTGTTCATCCGCATGAACGGCAAGGGTATGGATGAAAAGGAAGAGTCTGGAGGAGGTGAGGTGAACTGCCAGTATTCTACTCCAAGCACCTGGGAATCGTATTTTCTCAGAAAAGAGCCGAATGGCAGCTACTCGTTTCGAAATGTTAAGTTTCCTCACTGCTATATTCGCTTAGACGGGAACGGAGTTGAAGCACGGTTACCTTTTGGTGGCGGCACAGTCAACTGCCAGTATTATTCTGATCCATCTTCTCCAGCATCAACATGGGAAAGTTATCACAAAGAAGTTCATTAGCTACAACTGGTCAGGTGTGTCTCATAACAACTGTGGCTCGTGATGACAATTTTATTTTAGCATGTATGGATTTATTAGCCAACAGTAACTTGTAGTCCTTTTTAGTTTAACAACAAAGCCAGAGCTTGAACATTCTTAATTATTTGTAACTGACACTGTAGTTTTAAACTGTGCCAATTTTCAATACTTATGTGCTCCCTCGGAGCTTTATTTCTAATATAGGTGGTAATTTTGTTTTGGTTGTTTGTTTTGCTGTCACTTGTATTAAATTACTAAGTACAACAAAGTAACCACGTCTAGACCCTTGTGGATTTGATAAAGTAGGTAACCTTGTAATATCTGTTATGAGAGGAATTAGTCCGTATTTCAATCATTTCCGTGTTTATTCTTATTTAAAAGCCAACAGTAGATCTTTAAACAAAGTCAGAACTTTATCGTTTTATTTAAGATTTATTCGGCTTAGACGTTGTTGCTTGTACAACTGTAATATTGCCTGTAAAACACATGAATAATTAATGAGGAAAACATGATAGAAATCACAATTGTGAAGAGTGTGGTAATATTTGACACAAAACTGTCTTGATTTGAATAAACTTTAAATCTAACTTCCTCAGCCAAATTCAATTTTATCTTTAAGTTTTTAGTAGATTATGCATCTTTACACCTATTTCACAAGTACTTTACAACATTCGCGTCCGTGTTGCATGGGCTTTACAATCTCGATCGCCTTCGGCTCGAGATTGTAAAATCCCATACAACACGGCCGCTCATGTTGTAAACATTGCCTAAATATTACTTTGACTTTTTAATTTACAACTCACTTTAAAACTTTCCGATAAACTGTTATTGTTCTTTTAAGGAAAAAAAAGATTTTTTGAAAATTTTTAAACAATTTTTTTTTTATTTAAAAATCTCTTTTT